AATGATGAACAAAACACTTTTAGTCGTTAAAGATTATTTATCTTGGACATCTATATAAATATATTTCAAAATATTTCACTTTTTTTTTATATTTTCTGTCTTCATGGAGGTCTGGGTGAGTTGGGTGGTTCCTGGGTGCCCACTATTGGCCAGCTGCCACGGCTTGGTCTCCCTCAGTCATGGCGAAGCCTGGCATGTGTAGAGATTAAATCAGATATTATGACTGGATTCTATAGGAAATTTAAATCAGTTCCACCACAATATTGGACAGAAAAACCAGGTACCAGTGGAGGGTTTGAAGGATAGGAATGCCAGACAGAATGAGATCAGGAACAGTCTTTGTCTTCCAGTTTGCAATGAGGTTCAGGAACTGGATCCATCTAAGAAACAGGGACCTGAGGAGGCAGAGAGGTTTTCAGCAGGACGAGGAGTTGGCTGGTTGCACCACTGTAGGAAAACACTCTTCTTATAGCCTCACTGGTGGAGTTAATTGGCTGTAGGCCCACTAGATAAACACCCCAACACAAACATCATCTATAAAGAATAGTAAAGACATCTTTTTTAGTCATACCTGGGCGTTTTAAATCGCAGCAGAAGCTGAGCTGATGGGACATAAAACTAGATAAAACTCATTTGTTCTAGATTGTTGGAAACTAAGCATAAAGTTATCAGTCTCTCTTGGGGATCCAATTGCAGACCAGGAAGCAGAGTTGTAGTTTAACACACATCTCTGCAGCTTCTCTACTGTTACCCACTCTTTACTCCATCCAGACAGTGTCTTGCCCACGACCAAAATCTAATAAATTAGCAAATATTCCCAAAGGAGTAAATCATGATAATCTAATTAAAATCAAAATAACTCCAATTGGGGAAAAAGTTAAAACAATTAAATGCGGTCTGTTTAACATAAGATCTCTTTCCTCTAAAAGTCTGCTAGTTAATGACTTGATTTGTGATAATCACATTGACTTGTTTTGCCTTACAGAAACCTGGCTGCAGCAAGAGGATTATGTGAGCATAAATGAGGCAACTCCTTCAAGCTATTTAAATTTTCACATCCCCAGAAGTTCTGGGCGAGGAGGAGGAGTAGCAACAATCTTCCAGTCTGACTTACTGATTACTCCCAAAACAGTTAATACCTACAACTCTTTGATCATTTAACCCTTAATTTCCCTGATCCAAATTTCAAGCCAAGAAAACCTCTTCTTTTTGTAACTTTGTATCGTCCACCAGGTCCTTACTCTGAATGTTTAGATGAGTTTTCAGAGTTCCTTTCTGATTTGGTATTAAATACTGACAGGGTCATCATAGTGGGAGATTTTAACATCCATGCTGACATTGAAGGCGATAGCTTAAGAGCAGCCTTTAATGCTATCTTAGACACTATTGGCTTTGTTCAAAATGTGAATAGTCCCACACATTCTCATCTTCATACTTTGGATCTTGTGCTGACATACGGCATAGAATGTGAAGAAATAACAGTATTTCCTCACAACCCTGTCCTCTCTGACCACTTTCTAATAACCTTCAGGATTACTTTAACAGAGTTCTCCTCCCCCAAAAGAAGGTTCAATTTTAGTAGATCTTTATCAGATAGTGCAGTTATAAATTTTAAAGAATCTGCTTCACTTTCTCTCTCCTCTGTGTCACTGAGCAGTGCTGCAGAGTGCAAAAGCTTAGCTTATTCCCCTTCACAGGTTGATGATTTTGTTGATGGGGTTGCTAGTTCTCTGCGTACTGCCTTAGACAACGCAGCTCCTTTGAAAATGAAAACCGTTAAAAATAGAAAGCTTGCTCCTTGGTTTAATGCAGAGCTGCGTACTTTGAAGCAAAATGCTAAGAAACTGGAGAGAAAATATTGCTCCACAGGCCTGCGGGAGTCCTTACTAGTCTGGAAAAATGGTTTACTGCTGTATAAGAGGACCCTTTGTAAAGCAAGAGCAGCATACTTCTCCTCATTAATAGAGGAGAATAAGAATAATCCTAGATTTCTTTTTAATACAGTTGCCAAACTCACCCAGAGCCATAGCTCTGTTGAACCGTCCATTCCACCTGCTCTTAGCAGCAATGATTTTATGGGATTCTTTATAAATAAGATTGATCTTATTAAAAATAAGATCATAAGCACTCCTCTATCCGTGATTGTACCTGAGGTAGTCATGGAATCTGAACCGGGTTTAGACTGCTGTGATCCAGTTGAACTCTCTGAATTAGCAAAATTATTGTCTTCATCTAAGCCTTCAACTTGTATGTTAGATCCAGTTCCAACCAGGTTATTTAAGGAGGTATTCCCTTTGATCTCCTCCTCCATTTTAGATGTGATTAATCTATCTCTGTTACAGGGATATGTACCTAAAGCTTTTAAGGTTGCTGTAATTAAACCTCTGCTTAAGAAACCGTCTCTTGACCCAGATGACTTGGTCAATTATAGACCTATATCCAATCTTCCTTTCTTATCCAAAATTCTTGAGAAAGTAGTTGCCAAACAAGTTTGCGGTCACTTCCACCATAATGAACTTTTTGAAGAGTTTCAGTCTGGCTTTAGAGCTCATCATAGCACTGAAACAGCTCTGGTGAAAGTCACTAATGATATTCTCATGGCCTCAGATAATGGACTTGTATCTGTGCTCGTCCTGTTGGATCTCAGTGCTGCATTTGATCCAGTTGATCAGAATATTCTTTTAGAAAGACTTGAATATTTTGTTGGAATTAAAGGAACAGCACTAGACTGGTTTAAATCTTATCTATCTGATCGAATTCAGTTTGTTCATGTTAATGATAGATCTTCAACACGCTCAAAGGTTACCTGTGGAGTACCACAGGGATCAGTGCTAGGACCAATTCTCTTTACTTTATACATGCTCCCAATCGGTAGAGTTATTAGACAGCATGGGATTAATTTCCACTGTTATGCTGATGATACCCAGCTATATCTGTCTATAAATCCAGATGAAGCTAACCCATTACATAGATTACAGGCATGTCTTGAAGACATAAAAACCTGGATGACTCTTAACTTTCTGCTTCTGAATGCAGACAAAACAGAAGTTATAGTCTTTGGACCAGAGTCTCTGAAAAAGAAGCTGATTAGTCAGTCACTTCATTTGGATGGGATTAAACTGATTTCAGATAATAAAGTAAAAAATGTTGGTGTTATTTTTGATCAGGACCTGTCATTTAAATCCCATATCAAAGAGGTTTCTAGAATTTCCTTCTTTCATCTGAGGAACATTGCAAAAATTAGAAATCTCCTGTCCAGGGGTGATGCTGAGAAACTAGTCCATGCATTTGTTACTTCAAGGCTGGACTATTGTAATTCTTTACTATCAGGAAGTCCACAAACTGTAGTTAAAAGCCTTCAGCTGATCCAAAATGCTGCAGCCAGAGTTCTGATGAAAATGAAAAAGAGAGATCATATCTCTCCTATCCTGGCTTCTCTTCATTGGCTTCCTGTTAAATCCAGAATAGAATTTAAAATCCTCCTTCTCACATATAAAGCCTTAAATGGCCAAGCTCCATCTGATATCAGAGATCTGATTGTTCCTGATGTTCCTAACAGAGCACTTCGCTCTCAATCTGCAGGTTTACTAGTGGTTCCTAGAATTTCTAAAAGTAGAATGGGAGGCAGATCTTTTAGTTCTCAGGCTCCTCTCCTGTGGAACCAACTACCAGTTTTAGTCCGTGAGGCAGACACCCTGTCTACTTTTAAGGCTAGGCTTAAAACTTTCCTTTTTGATAAAGCTTATAGTTAGAGTGGCTCAGGTTATCCTGAGCTATCTCTATAGTTCTGCTGCTATAGGCTTAGACTGCTGGAGGACATAGGGACCCCCATTTCATCATTCTGCTTCATTCTTTCTCTGTTCTCCTATTCTGCAGAATCTGTTAGTTCAATCTCTAACCTTCTGCTCTCTCTGCTTTTCCTCAGAGTAGCTTTGCCTCGTCTGTTCCTGTTTGGCTGTGACGTCATCCTGGAAAAAAACATCAGCTGTGCTGCTTCTATCAACACCCTTGTTAATAGATGTTGGAGATCGGCCTGTCTTCAGGTGTGGTCCTGTTTCTCTGACCTTGACTGAGTGGATGTGCTCTCTTCGTCCTCTGGCATGGGAGCTGGCTCGGAGCTCGTCTGCCTGGCTGTGTGTTTCCTGGACGGGGCCGCCTTTTACAGCTGCTTTTTGTATCTCTGCTTCTGTCTCCTTGAACCCCAGTCGGCCTCGGCAGATGGCCGCTCACACTGAGCCTGGTTCTGCTGGAGGTTTCTTCCTGTTAAAAGGGAGTTTTTCCTCTCCACTGTCGCTACAAGCATGCTTAGTGTGGGGGATTGTATTTGAGTCAATGAGTCAATGCAATCAACTGGTTTTCCTTAGATAGAAAACTTTGTATCAATTTGACTGTATGATCTGGTTGAACTGTAAAGTGCCTTGAGATGACATGTGTTGTGAATTTGGCGCTATATAAATAAACTGAATTGAATTGAATTATTTAAGAACAATTTTCATTTTATTCCCCTTCTTTTTCTCTAAATCAGTAAAATTTTCTGTCATTAAGAAAAGAGAAATAAAATGTCTTAATAAAATCTGCCAACCATTTTTATCAGTCACACGTTATTTGGTTTGTACGGAAGAGGATTAGGGCCACTGAAAAAAAAAAAAGTTAACTGATTTTTAAATGTTATTTCAGTTTAATATGGGAAAAGAAGTCAGAATTCTGACTTTTTTCTCATACTATACTGAAATAAAATTAAAAAAAAAATCAGTTAACTTTTTTTTTTTCAGTGGCCCTAATCCTCTTCCGTAGGTTTGAGCGTTTTTTCCTTAAAATGCAAAATAATAATTCAACTTGGAAAAGATCCTTTTACTATAAGGGAGGAAACGGGTCCAAATGGCTTCAACTGTGATTGACAGGCTGTGATCCTCCTATTGCTTCTCAGTGCCTCTATCCCCCCCCCTTTACTCTCCCCTCCTCCTGTCTCCTCTCCCTTCCTCTCCTCTTCTCCCTTCTATTGCCTCCTCTCCCTTCCTCCTGTCTCCTCTTCTCTCCTGTGAAGCCTGAATGATGGATCCGAAGTGGGACCTGCTGCTCCTCCTGCTCTGCTCCAACTCTCTTCGTTGTTCAGCCATGGAATCGGGTAAGACTTTGCAAACACACCGGGAACTTGGATCACTGGAGAGAAACAAAAAACTAGATGAGAGATTCCAACTTCCATGCAAGGAGAGTTGTTGTTGCAGACAGCAGAGAGAATACTGTTTGTTTTCCCTGTTTTGTTTTTTTCATTCATGATGGAGGTAAATTATATTTTTTTGAAATCTCTCTTTGGTCGATTCCTTCGTTTGTCAGTCATTTGCTAGTTTGGATACTTTTAAGGTTAGAAAGCAGATTGAAAAGCTGACATCAAGTGGATATGCTGTAAGAAAAAAGATATTCAATACAGTTTGGTTCATTAATAAGCGTCTCAATTTACACATTTCTCCTCTTACTGCCTGATTACTGTGATTTCCCTCCTTTTCCCAATCTGCCTTCTCTCTATGGCCGCACTCAGACCCAGTCATGCAAAGATAAAACTGTTTAACTGTTTTAGGATATTTACAAGTACCTTTAGTTACATCTTTCATTTTATTTTTTATTTTTGTGGTTTTGTTTTTCCAGAAATGCTGTTTGTGAAAACGCAAAGCTGAGGTTCCTATAGAGAGCCAAGCATCTATTACTGTTATAACTTGTCTCTCTGTCACGCCTGCGTCCACCCCTTCAGTGCCAACAGCAGTTTTAGCCTAGAGATGTGCCTCAAACCCAGGGATAAACCTGCTGCAGCCATGTCTGCGGGTGTTAAAGGTATAGAGGATAATCTTTTTCCAGGTGGATCATCTCAATAAGAGGTCTTCCTAACTGTCATTCTGGTGATATGTTTACGTAAGGCCGTCCTACGTACTCGTCCCGTTGGCCATCTTTTCCTGCGCTCTTTCAGGCGTATATCTGTGGTGAGCTACGGTTTCAGACAGTCATTGAAGCTCACCTTTCTCACTGCCGTTCTTTAAAAATGGCCGAAGGTTGGGAGAGAAAAAGTGTCTACAAAGTTTATGAGAAGAAAAGGAAGGCCTCAGAGGAGGCAGATATATCCCAGAATGCTTTGCACAGAGCTCTCCTCACAAAGTATCATGGGATTTACTGTCGCCATAGGCTGTCATTGACCGACAGCGTTGAATAATAGCAAAGATGGCGCAGGCACAGCGCATTTGAGCAATGGGGAAGTGATCATCTGTCTGAACGGTCAGTTAACTGAGATATTCCCTGCTCTACACTCACCGGCCACTTTATTAGGTACCCCATGCTAGTAACGGGTTGGACCCCCTTTTGCCTTCAGAACTGCCTCAATTCTTGGTGGCATAGATTCAACAAGGTGCTGGAAGCATTCCTCAGGGAGTTTGGTCCATATTGACATGATGGCATCACACAGTTGCCGCAGATTTGTCAGCTGCACATCCATGATGCGAATCTCCCGTTCCACCACATCCCAAAGATGCTCTATTGGATTGAGATCTGGTGACTGTGGAGGCCATTTGAGTACAGTGAACTCATTGTCATGTTCAAGAAACCAGTCTGAGATGATTCCAGCTTTATGACATGGCGCATTATCCTGCTGAAAGTAGCCATCAGAAGTTGGGTACATTGTGGTCATAAAGGGATGGACATGGTCAGCAACAATACTCAGGTAGGCTGTGGCGTTGCAACGATGCTCAATTGGTACCAAGGGGCCCAAAGAGTGCCAAGAAAATATTCCCCACACCATGACACCACCACCGCCAGCCTGAACCGTTGATACAAGGCAGGATGGATCCATGCTTTCATGTTGTAGACGCCAAATTCTGACCCTACCATCCGAATGTCGCAGCAGAAATCCAGACTCATCAGACCAGGCAACGTTTTTCCAATCTTCTATTGTCCAATTTCCATGAGCTTGTGCAAATTGTAGCCTCAGTTTCCTGTTCTTAGCTGAAAGGAGTGGCACCCGGTGTGGTCTTCTGCTGCTGTAGCCCATCTGCCTCAAAGTTCCACGTACTGTGCGTTCAGAGATGCTCTTCTGCCCACCTTGGTTGTAACGGGTGGTTATTTGAGTCACTGTTGCCCTTCTATCAGCTCCAACCAGTCTGGCCATTCTCCTCTGACCTCTGGCATCAACAAGGCATTTCCGCCCACAGAACTGCCGCTCACTGGATGTTTTTTCTTTTTCGGACCATTCTCTGTAAACCCTAGAGATGGTTGTGCGTGAAAATCCCAGTAGATCAGCAGTTTCTGAAATACTCAGACCAGCCCTTCTGGCACCAACAATCATGCCACGTTCAAAGTCACTCAAATCACCTTTCTTCCCCATACTGATGCTCGCTTTGAACTGCAGGAGATTGTCTTGACCATGTCTACATGCCTAAATGCACTGAGTTGCCGCCATGTGATTGGCTGCGAGCAGTTGGACAGGTGTACCTAATAAAGTGGCCGGTGAGTGTATATAGCAATGAAGGGATTTAGGGGTTAGAGCGGACGTTTGGACACAGTAAACTTGGATGAGCTTTGAGAACAGCAGCTTTTAAACAGAGCGTTCACGAGGCATTCCCTCTTGGGAGCGGGTAGAGGGTTGTTCATGTGCGTTTTATTTGTTTTAAGTTGAAAGGGCAGGTCTTGAATTTTTTTTTTTTTTTTTGCAAAAATCTTCCACGATACCTTTAAATATTCATCCTATCATTGGCAGAAAACCAATTACTCTGAATTAGCAGGATAAAGGCAGTGCTGCCATTATGACTCCGGAGTTCTCTAATTATTTATTATTATTATGTGACCAGAGGTGTCAGAAGTATTAATGTTTATTACTCCAGTGGTATAAATACTACAGTTTAAAACCCTTGTGTAGAAGTTAGAGGATCAACTTAAGCTTTTAACTCCAGTAAAAGTGTAACACTACCATTTTTAAAACTATTTAAAATAAAAAAAGTAAAAGTAAAGCAGGAAAAATATTAAGGCCAGAAGCTTTTCTGCTCTACCTTATTAAAGGGACATTTTTCTACAGTTCTGGATGAAAACTTCCTTAGACTTTATTTTCTTAGTTTTAGAACTAATGGTAACAGAGTCACATTTAACTTTTCAGCACTGAGTCCAACCACAAAAAAATGAATTGTCTGGATGTAACTAATGATTTTTGATGGTTTTCATTTTTAAATACCAACAGGCTATAATGAAAATGAGCTTAAATTAAATAAAACTAATTAGTCTATTTTTTAAATGTAAGGAGTAGAAGTGAAAAAGTTGTTTAAAAGAATAACTCCAGTAAAGTATAGATAGCCAAAATTTCTACTTAAGGGAACAAAGTATTTGTACTTTTTTACTTAACACATCTGTATGTGACTGATTAAAAATGAATAAAAACAATTATCTTCAGCTTATTCTTGGTAAATTTCCAACTAAAAGGTTTTTAAATGCCCCTGCTGGGATGGCTACAGCAGAAATCACAATGCTTTTTGCTTTAGTAAATGAAAATCAACAGTTCAAACTAGAATAAATACAATAAAACCACAGAGGAAATACATTTTATTTCAAGCAATGGTGAGACTTCCAGCAAATGACACAAAGCATACCAGTGCGGTTACCCAGGCAACGGTCTCCCAGCTTGTATGGGCTGCTTAGCCAGCGGGCTGGTCACCTTCCCATGCTGTTGCCTCGTATATTCATCAGGCCTTCTCCTCAGGAGGAGAGCTGTTCTGAACCCATGTTCTTGCAGCACTCGCCGGACCGCCTGAAGCAGGTCGGATGTGTTCATCCTGCTTTTCGTTCCCTCTATAAAACCTTAGCTTTCTGTTTGAATATTTCCATTTCCTATTTTTTAAACCAGTGCACTAACCATTCCATACCAAAGAATATGGTTTTGAAACGCACCTCCATTCTTGAATAAAACCTGAGTAGAGTTTTGAATTGTGCTACAGGAAAAAGGTTTTGCACACTGCCTTCATTTTTTCATGCTATTTAATGGCTTGACTGGCATGCTTTCTGTTGATGGCAAAAGTACTCACTTTCCGTACTTGAGTAAAAGTACAGATACTTGTGTTAAAAAATACTCTGGTAAAAGTGGAAGTACTGATTAAACTTCTTTACTCAAGTAAAAGTAACAAAGTACAGGCTTGTAAATTTACTTAAAGTATAAAAGTAAAAGTAGAAACCACTTTTTTCATGCCGTTGCCTACATTTTAAATGGATGTCTGCCAATAGGACTAGATCTCCGTTGTGTTCATTTTCAATCATCTCGTCGTCCATGCTACTATGCTAACGCCACCGCCACCAAGCTGCAATGATTTGCCGCCAATGAATACCGCCGAATCTGTCGATTCATCTTGTAGTGGTGCGTCAAATGCAACGTAGATTCCCATCCAATTAGATTGAATTTGGTATTGATGACGGGAAAAATAATAACGGTAACTCCATTGAAATGATTCAAAACTAAAGTAACGAGACAATTTTTAAAATGTAAGGAGTAGAAAGTACAGATATTTGTGTAAAAATGTAAGGAGTAGAAGTAAAAAGTCGCCATAAAAATAAGTAGTAAAGTAAAAATATCAGAAAAATCTACTTGAGTACAGTAACGAAGTATTTGTACTTTGTTACTTCCCATCTCTGGTAGTTACCATGATTATGAATTATTTCTCTCTGGTCATACATTTGTTAAGCAAACAGTACAAAACAGTGACTACTTTCCCCACCTCATGTGACCCTTCTGTATAACATTTAAAATAGCTAATTCCAGAGGTAAAAGCTTTTTTCAAATGTTGTTTATAATCGTACGTGAATCTTCCTGTTGGCGAGGGTTTTGCAGAAACATAGTAAAACGCCTCTCTTACATTTCTCTCACTGTCCCTTTTTCTACTCTACCTGGGATTGGATTGTCTCTGTTGTCCATCATTATGGTGTCAAACCTTTTTCACTGCGATAATAAGATCGGTGTCAGGTCTGGGAAAAAAGTTGTGTGCAATTTTACCAGAAGATTATGAATTCTAATAACTAGAACAGGAATTTATAGTTAATTAATCGATCATTCAAATAGAGGGTAAAGCCACTTAATGATTATTAGTTGAATGATTATAAGTGTAGTTTGCT